GCAGAACATATTCTTAATAAACTTTATTATGCCAGTTGACCTAGATGTTCCCTGAAACCATAGTCCCCAGACCCCCGCCCCTGCTACTCTGTCCCTGGAAGTGTTTGGTTGTATTCAGGAAACTTCTTAGCTTTTTGTTTAGTCCAGTTGTGATGACTTCCCCTGTATTGTGTGTTGTCCCTCCCTTCACCTAAGAATTCTTATCTACTATCTAGTTAGTGAATACTCTTCCACAGGAAGAATTTTTTAAAGGAACATCTACTTTTAATTGGGTAAATTTAGATTCTATACTTGAATGGAATGAAATTGAGGACACCTACAATTTTTCATCACCACGCATCTGTCAGTTTGTTGTACTGTGGTGGCTTGCATGTTGCTGTGATGCTAGAAGCTATGCCACCAGTATTTCAAATACCAGTAGTGTCACCCATGGTGGGCAGGTTTCAGCGGAGCTTCCAGATGAAGACAGACTAGAAAGACAGACCTGGCAGTCTACTTCTGAAAATATTGGTCAATGAAAACCTTATGAATAGCAGTGGAACATGGTATGATATAGTGCTGGAAGACGAGCCCCTCAGATTGGAAGGCACTCAACATACAACTGGGGAATAGCTGCCTACTCAAAGTAGAATTGACCTTAATGATATAGATGGAGTAATGCTTTCGAGACCTTCATTTGCTGATGTGGTACAACACAAAATAAGAAGAAACAGCTGCAAACATCTATTAATAATTGGAACATGGAATGTACGAAGTATGAATCTAGGAAAATTGGAAGTCATCAAAAATGAAGTGGAACGCATAAAGATCGATAGCCTAGGCATTAGTATTGGCTATTTTGAATCAGACAATCATGGTCTACTATGCCAGGAATGACAAATTAAAGAGTAATGGCATTGCATTCATCAAAAAGAACGTTTCAAGATCTATCCTAAAGTACAATGCTGTCAGTGATAGGATAATATCCATACACCTACAAGGAAGACTAGTTAATACATCTATTATTCAAATTTATGCACCAACACTAAGGCCAAAGATGAGGAAACTGAAGATTTTTACCAACTTCTCCAGTCTGAAATTGATCAAACATGCAATCAGGATGATAACTAGTGGTTGTAATGTGAAAGTTTGAAGAAAAGAAGGATCAGTAGTTGGAAAATATGGTGTTGGTGATAGAAACAACATCGGAGATAGCACGGTAGAATTTTCCAAGACCAACGACTTACTCATTGTGAATACCTTTTTTCAACAATGTAAATGGCGACTATATAAGCAGACCTCTCCAGATGGAAAACACAGGAATCAAATCAACTACATCTGGGAAAAGAGACAATGGAAAAGCTCGATATCATCAGTCAGAACCAGTCCAGGGGGTGACTGCGGAACAATCAATTGCTTATATAGAAGTTCAAGTTGAAGATAAAATTAAAACAAGTACATGAGAGCCAAAATACAACCTTGAGCATATCCCACCCGAATATGGAGACCATCTCAAAATAGATTTGACACATTGAACACTAATGACTGAAGACCAGACAAGTTGTGGGATGACATCAAAGGCATCATACATGAAGAAAGCAAAGTGTCATTAAAAAGATAGAAATAAAGAAAGAAAAGACCAAAATGGATGTCAGAAGAGACTCTGAAGCTTGCTCTTGAACGTAGAGTAGCTAAAGCAAAAGGAAGAAATAATGAAGTAA